GCTCAGAGATGCTATCACATTGGGAGAGTGAAGGGTTGGTGAGAGCAGAGGCAGTTGGAGACTAGAAAGCAGATCCAAAGGATAAGATGCCACAGTGCATCTGGCCCTGCACCAGCCAGGAAGCCAGGTGCCTCCCTAGGGAGGGGAAAGCTGATGATGCATCCCAAAGCTATTCCTTGACCTTGTCTGACCTTCAGCCTGGTTCAGTAGAGCAGAGACTGACTCAGAAGTTCCGTCTTAGAGTTGGAACCACAACTTTGGGTTGCCATAGCTCATATAGTGGTGTTGGGACTTTACAGAAACAACCTAAAATTTTCTGAATTTTCATTGTTTGTCTAAGTGAGGACAAACATAATCTATCTCTCCTTCTCGTGCTATATTTTTTATAAACATGTTGTCACTGTGTACTCAAAGAACAAAGGGTTATTTAAAAATAAGTCTCACAAAAAAAAGTATCCTTTATTCATTCAAAGAGAGTATATTTATTTAATTCTAGATAGAAAACAACTGCTTTCATCATGATCTGTAGCCAGGCATTCTGGGATAGTGACAGCTTGTACCCCTTTCAGAATATCCATATCTATCCCAGAGTTAGGGCCCTCTGACAGAGGCCCCTTAAACATAGGAAGCCCCTCTTGCCTCTAAATGGAGAAAGGAAGAAAAAGCTCTAAGAGAGAGGGGATGACAGATCACAATCACATCACTCTTGCCACCAACAGGAGCTCTTCCCTGGAATTATAAACTTGCAACTCCTTTTTTAATATTTTGTTTTATTAATTTTGTTGTTGTTGTTGAAAATGTTATATATGTCCCCCTCCCTCACCTTGACCTCTTCTAGGCCACCTTGCCACCTACCACAGGCTTCTATCACCATATTGTCTGTGTCCATGGGCTATGCATGTATGCATACAAGTTCTGTGGTTGATTTCTGCAAACCCACCTATCCTCCCCTGCCTTCCCTCTGAGATTTCACAGACTGTTCCATGTTTCTATGTCTCTGGATCTATTTTGTTCATCAGTTTATTTCATTCATTAGATTCCACATAAGAGTGAGATCATATGATACTTGTCTTTCTTTGACTGGCTTATTTCCTTATGGTAATATTCTTCAGGTTACTCCAGGCTGTCTCAAGGGATATAGATTTACCCTTATTTTTTATTGCTGCATTATATTCCGTGGTGTAAATGTACCACAGTTCATTTTATCTTATATTTTATTCATTCATCTACTAATGGCCACTTGGGCTTTTTCTAGATCTTAGCTATTGTAAACTGTGCTGCTTTGAACATAGGGGTGCATACATTTTTCTGATTGGTTTTTCAGGTTTCTTAAGATATATTCCCAGAAGTGGGATCATTGGATCAGCTGGCAGTGTCATATTTAATTTTTTAAGGAAATAGCATACTGGTTTCCATAATTACTATGGCTTCTTCTAATATTTTTAGAAACTTACATTTATAATTTTGAATTTATTCTTATGTGTGGTGTATTTTAGTGGTCTAGTTTTATTTTTTACTTTTGCATATATCTGTCCAATTTTCCCAATATCATTTATTCAAGAGATTGTTTTGACTCCATTGTATGTTCTTGCCTCCTTTGTCAAGTATCAATAGAGTTTAATGGCTTGGGTCAATTTCTGGGTTTTCTGTTCTGTTCTATTGATCTAGAAAGATACTTGTTCTTGTGTCAGTACCAGTCTATTTAGTATACAGTGACTAACTTGATATCTGGTATTGTGATTCCTTCGATTTTGTTCTTCTTTATCAAGATTGCTGCAGCTATTCAGGGTCTTTTATTGTTCATATAAATTGTTGGAAATATCCTATTTTTAATCTGTTTGTTTCTTTTAACCTGTTTTATTTTCTATAATTTATCCTTACCAGTGTTGCATGGGTATTCAATGATGGACATATGTTCATGGTGAAACTTGCCTTTGAGCCTCCATTCTAACTTGTCTGATTTTAGCCCCATAACTCCTGCTTTCTGTTTGTATTTGCACCATAGCATTTTGCTTGTCCATTTTCTTGTAACTTTTCTGAATCACTTTGTGTTACATTCTTAAAAGATAAACTGAGGTCATTTAAAAGTGGAAGGATTCAATCAGGCAGCACTCAGTGGAGCAGGTGGGAAGCAGCTCCCGGGAGCTGTGCAAAAGGAAAGGCCTTTACAGGCAGAAAGGGGCAGGGGCAGGAAGTCACAAGAGGCAAACACCTGGGTGGATTATTGCAAGGTTACCCTCCTTAGGGAATGGAGGCCATGAGGCAGATGACCTGACTGATGCTCACCAGGTGAGTCCTGGTTGGTTGCCTGGGGTTCCATCTCTGGGAGAGAGTCATTAAGGTCAGTGTGGTTTGGTGAGGTGCTGCCTAGCGTGAGCGACTCCGATATGGCCCTGTTTTCTTGTTTTTAACTAGCTACGTCTCTTTTATATCATTCTGAATTTTGAAAAAGCATGTGAAGGATTCTGCCTTTCTTTATTTGCCAAATACACACTGGGGACAACAACTTTAATAAAATGTAAGTAGGAGATGGTCCCCCGCAAAGCCGAGGATGCGGATCCTGAGGTCTCCCACCCTCCTCCTGCTGCTCCTGGGGGCGCAGGTCCTGACCCCCACCTGGGGCGGTCCCCACTCCCTGAGGTTTGTCTACAGTACATGTGTCAAACACAAGGCCCGCGGGCCAAATCTGTCCCGCCAGGCCTTGCAATGTGGCCCGCACCGCGCTGTCATCACTGCACTCCGCTGCGTTTCCATCACAATGACAGTTTATGACTGTTCAGTAAACCATTCCGCCCGCGATTTAGGCTGGATTTTAGATTTTGGCCCCTTCTCTGATTGAGTTCGACACCCCTAGTCTACAGCACCATCATGTCCCCTCCTGGCTGGGGAGCCCGGGAACCTCGCGGTTGGCTGCTTGGACTACACTCAGTCAGTTCGTGCTGATGGACAGCTACGCGGGGAGCCCGAGGGCGGAGCCCCTGGCACAGGGCATGCTGCAGCCCTGGGTGGAGGGGAGCACCCTCCGCACCGGACATAGAAACGGGGAGGTGCAAGGGACCCGCACAGTGTTACCCAGGGAGCCTGAGCATCCTGCGCGGCTCCTAAGACCAGAGGGAGGGCGGGTCTCACACCATCCGGGTCATGTAAGGCTGCAACACGGAACCCGATGGTCGCCTCCTCCGCGGGTGCGGACAGTCCGCCTACGAGGGCGCCGACTGCATCGCCCTGAACACGGACCTGACCTCCTGCACCGCGGCCCACCTGGCGGCTCAGATCACCAGGCGCAAGTGTGTGTGTTTTAATTCTTGGTGCTTCCATTTATTTCCTCTCAGAAAATATTTAATTAAAGGATCTCCTTTAATTAACCATCACAGTTAGTGGCAAGAATTTAAAAAAAAAACAGGTTAACCTACAGTCTCATTTCAGTTCAGGAGCAAGAAGTTGTCGCTCAGAGCACCAGGGAGGAAAGGCAGGGATGGGGAGGGTACAGTCAAGACAATCAGAGGGTCTTGAGCCAGGAAGTGAGAGTGTGGACACATCTCCCATCACTCAATCCCCACAAGGTAGCTGCCTCAGACTTTGGAAGCCCAAAGAGACATATCAGAGCCCTGGGCATAGCTTCCTCCTTTCCCACTGGGCCCCTCCCCTCCTCCCCCCATCACAGCTCCAGCCACAGCTCTGAGCAGAACCAGGCCCCAGCGATGCCCATGATGATGAAAAAGGTCTGAGAAGGCGGCTCCCCTCTCAGGCTCAGGGGCTCGGGCAGCCCCTTGGGCTGCAGGTGGCACGTGTATCTCTGCTCCTCTCCAGGGGACACCCCAAGGCCGCCCCGCTTCTGGAAGGTCCCATCCCCCGCAGGCCTGGTCTGCACAAGCTTCATGTCCTGGGTCTGGTCCTCCCAGTCACACTGCCAGGTCAGGGTGAGGTCCGCAGGGTAGAAGCCCAGCGCCCAGCCCCTCGCCCAGCCCCCCAGTGTGACCTCAAGGTCAAAGATGGGCTGGTGTGTCACCTGGCCTTTGGAGGGTCTGTGGGCTGCAGGGCATCCTTCCCTTTTCCAGGTAAACACGGAAGTAAAATTACAAATATTCTGCTCGGCCATGTAGCTCAGTGGTTGAGTGTTGGCCCATGAACCAAGAGGTCCCAGGTCCATTCCCAGTCAAGGCCCATGTCTGGAGCGTGGGCTCCATCCCCCATGGGATCATGTAGCCGATCTACGTTTCTCTCTAATGGACGTTTCTATCACTCTATCCCTCTCTCTTTCTCTCTCTAAAATCAAAGAAAACGTATCTTTTATTTCTTTTTTATTGTTTTAGTATGTTTTCATTCATTTCAGAGAGGAAGGGAGACGGAAAGAGAGATAGAAACATCAATGATGAGAGAGAATCATTGAATGGCTGCTTCCTGCATGCCCCTTCCTGCGGATCAAGCATTGAACCCAGGCATGTGCCCTGACTGGGAATTGAACCACCACTTCCTAGCTCAGGGGTAGAAGCTCATACACTGAGCTATGTGAACAGGGCAATAAACATATTTGTTTTTAAATTACAAACATAACTAAGGCAGTGCTGGCTGACAGACTCATTGGGTAAACGGTCTAGTTTCAGCCTGAGCAGAGGCCTGAGCAGGGGCCTGGGAGAAGGTGTGTCAGAGCCGCAGGAGAGAGAGAGGCTCCTGGGTTCAGTGTGGCTGTTGCGTGTTCAGTGACTTACAGGCTCGTATGTGACCCAGCTAGGTTCTCAGAATCACCTAATGTTGCCCCCAAATAACTATGGACCCTAGAGGCTGATCAACAAAACAAACACAAAATGTCACTGCCACAGCTGAAAACCTTTTTTGTAAGTAAGGTTTTATTAAGCAAAATGCTTCCCAAAAGCAAGTCCAATCTTGAGGCATAGACTAGTCTACAGCAGCACGGGAGAAAAGACAACATGCCCATCCATTGTCCCAGAGCTTTACAAGCTTATTATACAACAAATGGGGGGGGGGGGTGTTATAAAGAGTTAATATACAAGAAATTTATATGGTGCTGGGCTGTCCATGGAAGGTTTGTCCTCAGGCACAGGCTGGACTTGGGGATCCGGCGCTGTGCGCACAGCGTCCCCCAGGCGGCGCCTCTTAGCCGGGGCCTGAACAATCGACACTTGAGTCCCTTGTTCCCTAGGACGAAGACGATGATGACCTGGACCTCGACCTCGACCACGACCACGTGTGCCAGTTGGCTGGAGATCCTGGGCAGATGGGCTGGATGTTGGCTGTGAGGATGATGGGTCGGGCTTCACGGAGCAGAAGGCTGCGGGCTGGGCGGTGGAGGCAGAACCCGGGGCTGGCCAGGGGCCCAGGGATGGCTGGAGCACAGGGGCCCGGCTGCCGCGTTGGCGGCGGGACCCACGGCCCGTGCCCACTGATCGAGGGGTGAGCATGGCCCGCCGCGGAGGCAGGTGCCTCAGGCCCAGCGCTGACCTGCAGGCCGCCCGGCTCTCCCTCAAGGCGCTCAGCTCCTGGCTGCCCGGCGCCCTGGCCTCCACGTGGTCCACGCCAGCGCGGTCCTCCCCGCGCTTCCACAGCTCATAGCGCTCGGGCTGCAGGATGCGCACAAACACGTCCATGGAGAAGCTCACCCGGGCCTCCCCGCAGCTGCACTGAGAGGCCACCTTGCCATAGTCCACCCAGCGCGGGGTGGCAAAGTTGATGGCCTCCGCGCAGTTGAAGCCGTGGTTGAAGCCGGCGTGGTAGCCATAGGGAAACGTCACCATGAACTCGCCAGCCTCCTGGGTGATGCGGCTGAACGGGACCCCGTTCTCCCTGAGGACAGTGGGCGAGATGAGGGCCACCTTGTGCCGCAGGAAGGCCTCGCAGCTCCGGGAGCTGCCCGGGAACAGCTCCCTGGCCAGGCGCTCCAGCCGCTGGCCGTGCTCGGGGGGCACCGCGTACCACGTCTTGGGCTCCCCAAAGTGCAGGTAGTTGATGCTGTAAAGGTCCATGTCCTCCGTGTGCCAGGCGAACGTGGTCTTCCACATGCCAAAGTACAGGTAGGGCGTGTTCACGCCTTCGATCACGAGCCCGCACTCCTGCTCCAGCAGGTCCTGGATGGTTCCCAGGTGGCCAAGGTTCCACTGCTTAGTGTTGGCATCAAACAAGGACCCGTTGATGTCAGCGCCGTAGATGGGCGAATCGTACAGGCGCGTTTTCCAGTATTTCCGCTCCAGATCCTCGAAATCCACGTGTGGTGGGGTCTGATACTGTCCACTGTTGGCCAGCAGGCGGTATTCCCCCACTGTCATGGCCCTCTTCTTCTTGTGGTATTGGATGAACACGCCTGCTCGCCCCGACGCCACCTGCTGGAGGGGGGTGGCTATTACCATGTCATTGACATCATCATAGGTCTGTCTGGCTTTCCATTCCTTGGGTGGAACGACCTTAGCCAGGCCAGTTCGGTGTGCACCTTGGGATTCCATGTAACCAATATATTTGTTGAAATCTTTAAATTCTTCCATGGTTGGGTGGAAGGTCATGATTTTCACCTTTGGCTCATTAGACATCATGGCTGCAACGAAAGGGGTGGAGTCCCAGGTCCTTATGGATGTTTTAGATAGCTGAGGATGAGGGAGTAATGTCTTCTCTCTTTTTTTTTTATTTTTTAGGTTTTGGTTTTAGTTTCGGTGTGTCTGTTTCACAGTCACTCAGAGTGAATGTTTGAAAAATGAGTCTTTTCCAGGCTTTTGACCTCACTAGTGGGAACCACGATGATCAGTGCTTTTTGTGCCTGAAGGACATGGGCCAGTTCTGAGGAAGCAGACACTAGGGGCTGCCAGGCTCAGCCTGCAGCTCTGGGGGCTCCCCTGTGGGGGTGCTGGAGTCTCTGAGGCTTCTCCTGAGTCACAGCTTCAGTGTCCGGATGGCTCCTCACTCCAAATAGTGGAGAGTCTCCTCAAGGATGTTGAAAAGCTAAACCGGAAGACAAGAACACAGAATATTGGTAAATAATCACACACACACACCCCTAACACCTAATAGAAATTACTCTAAAACCTGGTTCTTAGGAAAGAACATTAGAAGTGAAAAGACATAAGCGTGAAATGTACAAATAGGCACTGAATGACAAAATAGGGGACACAAGTAAAAATGCACCAGGGAAAGTTTTAAAAAACTAAAGATTAATCTTATGAACACATTGTTGCTAGTATTTTCGAAAATAAAAATAGAACATTTTCTCAAAAGCACATAGGCGGCCCGGGTAGTGTGCCTCCGTGGTTAAGCATCAACCTATGAATCAGTAGATCATGGTTCCGACTCCCACTCAGGGCACATGCCTGGTTTATGGACAATCTCCAGTGTGGGGCCTGCAGGAGGCAGCCCATCAGTAATTCTCCCTCATCATTGCTGTCTTAAAAAATAAGTCACACAGGGGCCTAAAGAAGTAAAAAAAAATGAAATACACATAATATTTGTACTTTGCATCAATCAATGATACCTTACCAGGAAAAAGTTGCTTTCTGATCTAACATGTCACTGTTTTCTACAGTTTTATGCTTTCAAGGTAAAACAACAGCCAGAAAGTGCTTGCCTTCTGCTATTGTAAAATCTTGATTCCAAATTATGATACAATAGGACCCAGAAACGGATTTTCTTTACAGATTCAGCCTCCGAATGAAACATGCTGTACCGGAGGTCAGGCAAAATCATGTCCCATCTCAACTCTAATTCACCCAGCACCTTCCCCATTCTAATGCCCCATATCTAATTAAAAACCTCCATTTTGGTCATCGGCTCCCTAAATATGAGGCTTTTTGCTGAAAATCTTTGTGATTTTTACCAAGAAAATATTAAGAAACAAAGTAACCCCACAAGTCTGAAAAAGTTTTTGTGTTTTTTAAATATGTTTGTATTGATTTCAAAGAGGAGGGAGAAGAGGAGAGAGAGAGAGACTGGATCATGAAAGAGAGAGAATCCTGGATCACCTGCCTTCTGGAGATAGAACCAGAAATATGAGCTTCCAATGGGGATTTTTCTGGTTCATGGGGCAGTGCTCAACTACTGAGGACACTGCCTGGGCACAAGTTCTTCTTTTTAATCTCGTCTTTTAGCCTGGCAAGAGTTGCTCAATGGTTGAGGGTCGATCCATAAACCTTGAGGTCCCCAGATGAATTCTGGGAGTGTAGGCTCCATCCCCTGTAAGGGGCATACAGGGGGCTGCTGAGGTTTCTCTCTATTCCTCCCCCTTACTCTCTCTCTCTCAAAAAATCTATTGATACATACTTTAAAAAATAAAATAAAAACTGGCTTTAACTCAAGGGAATGATATCCAGATACATATTTCTCAGTCATAAGTAATATAAAACTATAGTCAGTTCTTCACACATTTGCAATAGGAACAAAAGCTCTTTTGGTTACAAGCACAAATAGCAGAAATCAACTGACCTACTTCCCACCAGCGAAATCCCAATTCCAGGCGAAGGCACTGGAGGATCCAGAGAGACGGTATCCCCTTGAGAGCTGGCTCCAAATGCAGCCCACATCTTCTTGGGCCTGGCTTTATACCGGGGCCATAATCTCTTCATTGCCCTTCCAGGGTGATCTCTGGATTATCGGTTTAGTTAATCCCTTTACTTTCTCTAGGCCACGTTTTAAAGAAAAAATAAAAAGTGAACTCCAGTCTTTAAGCATACTAAGAGATTAAAAATAAAGGAGTGAGCCCTAACTGGGTTTGGCTTAGTGGATAGAGCGTCAGCCTGCAGACTGAAGGGTCCTGGGTTCGACTCCAGTCAAGGGCATGTACCCTGGCTGCAGGACATCTCTATTCGGGGGTGTGCAGGAGGCAGCTGATAAATGTTTCTCTCTCATCTATGTTTCTGGCTCTCTACCCCTCTCCCTTTCTCTCAGTAAAAAATCAATTAAATATATATATATATATATATATATATATATATATATATATATATATATATATATATATTAAACAAAATAAAATAAAAAATGAAGGAGCAAGGAAGTCAAACCGCACAAATATTAAACAGGAAAGAAAATCCACCCTGGTCTAGCAGCAATTAATATCATCTTCTCAGAACCCGATAATCAACTAGAGAGGAAAATTAAATGCTATGAAAGTTTGAACAACTAACAACTTTGATCCCGTAACCTGCAACCACATAACAAGTGGAAAGTGCTTTTCAATACCTATGAAACATTTGAATAATGTTATCAATTGAAGACCACAAACTAAAGATCAATAAAAATGCCACAGAATTAACATACTGAGAACCCTCTTGGTCACAGTCTAATAAAATGGGAAGTCACCAATAAAAACCCTCCCTCCCGCCCCATCCAGACCACCTGACTAAGTCACCACTTTCCCAGCTTCTAATCTCATTATTTTTTGCTCAGCACAAAAGTTAGGTGCATTTTTGGAACCTGGCTTGTTTAGCAAAATACACTCATGTTGATGGCCTGTGGTTAATTCTGAATGCCTTTGTGTTTTCCACCTCAAACTTTATTAGGTAAAAAACAAACAAACAGAAAAAAAAACAAACAGCAATTAACAAAGAAGAACTACTTGATGCTTCAAAAGTCATTGTTGGTCCTGGTTTGCAGTGTGAAGAAACCTCTGTTTGTGATTGGGGGGTTGCAGGGAGAAGATAACAATAAAGATACACTTAATTGAAAAAGGAAAAAAACTTGTGCTCAAGTTCGGTGATGTGTGGGATTTCCTAGGTTTGGGCAATTTTCGGTTGCCGTTATTTACTTTTTCTCTTCACTTAGGGAATTCTTATCGGGGTGATAATCCTTGGGTCTTTTTTTTTTTTTTTAACATATTTTATTGATTTTTCACAGAGAGGAAAAGAGAGGGATAAAGAGTTAGAAACATCGATGAGAGAGAGACATTGATCAGCTGCCTCCTGCGCACTCCCTACTGGGGATGTGCCCTTGACCAAAATCGAACCTGGGGCCTTTCATTCCGAAGACCAACGCTCTATCTACTGAGGGAAACTGGTTCTAGCAATCCTTGGGTCTTGAAAGGACTCCCTGTCTGGCTTTCAGACAGGCTGGACTTAAGACATTTCCTCAGATTTTCTTTTTGTCAGGTAGGAAATTACAGATGAGAGCGGAGAAAGGAGAGAGAGAGAGATGTCAGTTGAATTTCTCATCTGGTACCTTCTTGTTTAATATACGTTTTTAAAGAGAAAATAAGAAACTCAGCAATAAAAACTGAACCAACCATATTTATTTGAAAATTAATATCCACATCACATCTATACTAATATATATGAGTATATCTAAAACTCAATTGTTATTTATTTTTAGCTCAAGCATTTAGTAATAATAAAACACACACACACATAGGGAATTACTCAAAAGAAAAGATAAGATGAAATGATAAAAGGGAAACAAGGTCGGCCATTGGGGCTCTATGGTTGAGTGTAGATCCATGAACCAAGAGATTGCAAGTTCTAGTCCTGGGCAGGGCACATGCCTGGATTTTGGGTTCAATGCCCAGTGGGGGCCGTGCAGGAGGCAGCCAATCTATGTTCCACTCTTCTCTCTTTCTCTCTCTCTCTCTCTCTCTCTCTCTCTCTCTCTCTCTCTCTCTCTCTCTCCCTCTCTTTTTCTCTCTCAAAATCAACTTTAACTCTGGCCTGCTAGCCCCAGTCTGTGGGCCTCCAGGGAGGGCCGGAGCGGTGGGGCCCCGGGGGACTGGGACAGTGACATCAGGGAGGCTGTGTGCCCACTGGGCCAGGTGAGCTGGACCTGGAGCAGATAGAGAACAACCAGCCATGCTGAGGGAGGTCTCGGGGAGACAGGAAGCGGGTCCCAGTTGTTTTGAATGTTAAAGGTCATTTTGATCAGTCTTTCCTAAAGGGATATTTTGCATTATTTTGGCTTTTACAATTCTGGAGAAAGGTCTCTATTTCGAAATGCATTTTCAGAGGGCATTCTGTTACCTGGGTTCTGGGTACATGCCCCAGGGCCGGCTGCTTCCTGGTAAAAGCCTGCGGTGAAGGGCACTGTGTCCTGTAGCTAGGAAGCCTGGCACCATAGGTCTGGGATTCATCCACCATCGCTTAAGGCGGGACCCACGCTCTGCGGCCTGCGCTCCTGGCCCAGCGTGGAGACAGGGTCCTGGGCACCTGGTCTGTGACTTCAATAAAAGATGTTTGCTTTGCAAAAAATAAATAAATAAAAATCAACTTTAAATGATATTTTAAACAAAAAGAAAATCACCGAAACCAGTTTGGTTCAGCGGTAGAGCGTCGGTCTGCGAACCGAAAGGTCCCAGGTTTGATTCCAGTCAAGGGCATGTAAGTTGGTTGTGAGCATATGCCCAGTAGGAGGTGTGCAAGAGGCAGCTCGTCAATATTTCTCTCTCATCGACGTTTCTAGCTCTCTATCTCTCTCCCTTCCTCTCTGTAAAAAATCAATAAAAATACATTTTAAAAAGAAGAAAAATAAGAAAATCATTAGACAAATTTTAATAGATGTGCATCCTACAACACCTGAGCAATACTTCCCCAAATTGTCAAGTTTCTACATAAACATTTTGTCAGGCACAAGTCTGAGAGTCTATTACAGCCGAGAGAAACCAAATGTACTGTGGGATCTTGGATGTGATCTTGGAACATAAAATGAACTTGGGTAAACACTGAGGAAATCTGAATAACAGATCTATTGAGTAACATACAGGCATAGGTTCATTCACTGTAACAATGCACCACAGTAATGTAAGGTGTTAGTAATGGGGCAAAAGGGTGAATTTGAAGTGGAAAATCTGTGCAGTTCTCACATCTTAAGAATTTCCAAGGATTTTAGGAGCTCTGTGCCAGAAACAGGGATGAAGCCCCTATATATACTTATAAATCACAATATTACATAAATTATCCTATTTTTTGAAAGAATGAATGTTTATTGCTTCTGTATAATGGATTAAAGAGTTTTAAAATCAGTGACAATCTCATTGATGATATAAAATTAATTCAGATAAGTTATCATATTTCTTGGTAAATAGTCTGCTTATTGTTTTCTTTGAAACTATTTTATCTTGGCGTAATACTTCAGTATACCCAGGAAAAGCTATAGTTGCACACACACACTGACTACTTTTCCTGAAGATATTCAGAGAGCACAAAGAGGAAGAGTCTTGATCAATGGTTTCTCATTTGGTGAGTCATCAAAATATTTACACACCAATCCCTCTGTCAAAGGTTCAAATCCAATCCATCCATGGTGCTCTCATCTTCTTCTTCAAACTATTTAACAACTGGCACTGCACATGGCCTTGTGTCCAGCAGTCTCTTTAGAAACTGTGGGAAAGAAAGTGGGCACTGACTAACAGACTTTCAATGATCACTATGGAAGAACTACGATGTTGCACCATACTTTCGCATAAACATGGCCTGATCACCTGCATTCAGCACTTGGTGGAGCAAAAGGTTGTCACCAGGAAAACACTGCATATCAGTGGTGACTTTCTATGGTTTCAGACACCCAAGTCAAAAAGCAGCACACATTATTTACAGGATATGTGTAGGGGCTATTAGAAGGCACACTGCACCCTTCTGAATTGTCTCCACTAACCCCACCTGTCCCAGCCCTCTAGAGTTTAGTAAGGACAACTGGCTCCCCACACCATTGTCCCCTAAGGACAGACGCCTGCATGCAAGGACCGTGGATCAGTTAAGCACCCCGAAGAGTGTCCAGCCCACATGTAGTTCTGCTTAATCACAGAGAGTACAGGAGTCAGATTTGGTGAGATGAATATGCCAGGATGACAATCACACTTGATATCAGAGGGCAGATAGGTAGGTCTGGCTCAGAGATGCTATCACATTGGGAGAGTGAAGGGTTGGTGAGAGCAGAGGCAGTTGGAGACTAGGATAAGATGCCACAGTGCATCTGGCCCTGCACCAGCCGGGAAGCCAGGTGCCTCCCTAGGGAAAAACTGATGATGCATCCCAAAGCTATTCCTTGACCTTGTCTGACCTTCAGCCTGGTTCAGTAGAGCAGAGACTGACTCAGAAGTTCCGTCTTAGAGTTGGAACCACAACTTTGGGTTGCCATAGCTCATATAGTGGTTTTGGGACTTTACAGAAGCAACCTAAAATTTTCTGAATTTTCATTGTTTGTCTAAGAGAGGACAAACATGATCTATGTCTCCTCCTCATGCTATATTTTTTATAAACATGTTTTCACTGTGTACTCAAAGAACAAAGGGTTATTTAAAAATAAGTCTCACAAAAAAGTATCCTTTATTCAGAGAAAGTATATTTATTTAATTCTATTATAGATAGAAAGCAACTGCTTTCATCATGATCTGTAGCCAGGCATTCTGGGATAGTGACAGCTTGTTCCTCTTTTGAGGCTTCACCCTTTCAGAATATCCACATCTATCCCAGAGTTAGGGCCCTCTGACAGAGGCCCCTTAAACATAGGAAGCCCCTCTTGCCTCTAAATGGGGAAAGGAGGGAAAAGCTCTAAGAGAGAGGGGATGACAGATCACAATCACATCACTCTTGCCACCAACAGGAGCTCTTCCCTGGAATTATAAACTTGCAACTCCTTTTTTAATATTTTATTTTATTAACTTTTTTTGTTGTGTTGAAAGTATTATATATGGCTGAAATCGGTTTGGCTCAATGGATAGAGCATCGGCTTGGGGACTGAAAGGTCCTGGGTTCGATTCCGGTCAAGGGCATGTACCTTGGTTGCGGGCATATCCCCGGTGGGGGATGTGCAGGAGGCAGCTGATCGATGTCTCTCTCTCACTGATGTTTCTAGCTCTCTCTCTCTCTCTCCCTTCTTCCCTGTACAAAATCAATAAAATATATATATATTTTTAAAAGTATTATATATGTCCCCCTCCCTCACCTTGACCTCTTTTAGCCCACCTTGCCACCTACCACAGGCTTCTATCACCATATTGTCTGTGTCCATGGGCTATGCATGTATGCATACAAGTTCTGTGGTTGATTTCTCCTGCCTTCCCTCTGAGATTCCTCAGACTGTTCCATGCTTCTATGTCTCTGGGTCTATTTTGTTCATCAGTTTATTTCATTCATTAGATTCCACATAAGAGTGAGATCATATGATACTTGTCTTTCTCTGACTGGCTTATTTCCTTAGCGTAATATTCTTCAGGTTACTCCAGGCTGTCTCAAGGGATAGTTATAGATTTAACCTTATTTTTTATTGCTGCATAATATTCCATGGTGTAAATGTACCACAGTTCATTTTTTCTTATATTTTATTCATTCATCTACTAATGGCCACTTGGGCTTTTTCTATATCTTAGCTATTGTAAACTGTGCTGCTTTGAACACAGGGGCGCAGACATTTTTCTGATTGGTTTTTCAGGTTTCTTAGGAAATACTCCCAGAAGTGGGATCATTGGATCAGCTGGCAGTGTCAAATTTAATTTTTTGAGGAAATAGCATACTGGTTTCCATAATTACTATGGCTTCTTCTAATATTTTTAGAAACTTACATTTATAATTTTGAATTTATTCTTATGTGTGGTGTATTTTAGTGGTCTAGTTTTATTTTTTACTTTTGCATATATCTGTCCAATTTTCCCAATATCATTTATTCAAGAGATTGTTTTGACTCCATTGTATGTTCTTGCCTCCTTTGTCAAGTATTAATAGAATGTAATGGCTTGGGTCAATTTCTGGGTTCTCTGTTCTGTTCTATTGATCTAGATGCTTGTTCTTGTGTCAGTACCAGTCTATTTAGTATACAGTGACTAACTTGATATCTGGTATTGTGATTCCTTCAATTTTGTTCTTCTTTATCAAGATTGCTGCAGCTATTCAGGGTCTTTTATTGTTCATATAAATTGTTGGAAATATCCTATTTTTAATCTGTTTCTTTTAACCTGTTTTATTTTCTATAATTTATCCTTACCAGTGTTGCATGGGTATTCAATAATGCCCATCTGTTCATGGTGAGACTTGCCTTTGTGCGGGGGCTTGACATGGCCAGGGATCTCCCTTCTCTGTGGCCAGCACGGAAAGAGAGATGAAATTGGTTCTTCGTAGAGGCAGCCAGGGATTGAGAAATAAAGAAATGAAGAGAGTTGATGCAGAAATAGGCTTAAGCTGGGCCCCAGGTGGGTGGCAGACCTCCTCTGCTGGAGAGACTGACAGCCCCTGCCCCACAGCACACTATTTATTATCCAGTACACAAAGGGTCGCAGGGGTTCACAGGAAAAACAAGGAGCCTGGGAGGGGCCAGGTCCCATCCACTCCTTCCTGCCTGACAAACACAAGCCAGGAACTAAGAACATCTCCGCACTTCCAGGGCAGGAAGGTAACTGACAGGATTCTGTCAATATCCTAGGCTCAGTCAACAACAATCTAAAGAATGTCCAGGTATTTTCCAGGGGGCCCTCTCCACCTTTGAGCCTCCATTCTAACTTGTCTGATTTTAGCCCCATAACTCCTGGGGCTAATCCTTTCAAGACCCAAGGATTATCACCCCAACAAGAATTCCCTCAGAGAAGAGAAAAAGTAAATAATGGCAACTGAAAATTGCCCAAACCTAGGAAACCCCACACATCACCGAACTTGAGCAGAAGTTTTTCCTTTTTTAAGTAAGTGTATCTTTATTGTTATCTTCTCCCCCAAAACACCCCAATCACAAACAGACATTTCTTCACATTGCAAACCAGGACTCAACAAATACTTTTGAAGCATTGAGTTGTTCTTCTTTGTTAATTGCTGTGGCTTTTTTAATTAATAAAGTGTGAGGTGAAAAACACAAAGGAATTCAAAATTAACTGCAGGCCATCAACACAAGCGTGCTTTGCCAAAGAAGCCAGGTTCCAAAAATGCACCTAAAATTTGTCAGGAGCAAAAAATAATGAGATTAGAAGCTGGGAAAGTGGTGACTTAGCCAGGCGGTCTGGATGTGGCGGGAGGGAGGGTTTTTATTGGTGACTTCCCATTTTATTAGATTGTGACCAAGAGGGTTCTCAGTATGTTAATTCTGTGACATTTTTATTGATCTTTAGTTTATGGTCTTCAATTGATAACGTTATTAAAATGTTTCATAGGTATTGAAAAGCACTTTCCATTTGTTATGTGGTTGCAGGTTACATGAACAAAGTTGTTAGTTGTTCAAACTTTCATACCATTTAAATTTCCTCTCTAGTTGATTATCAGGTTCTGGGAGGATGGTATTAATTGCTGCTAGAGCGGGGTGGGTTTTCTTAACAGTTTAATATTTGTGCGGTTTGACTTCCTTGCTGCTATTTTTAAATTTAATTTTATTTTAAACATATATATTTTATTGATTTTTTTACAGAGAGAAAGGGAGAGGGGTAGAGAGCCAGAAACATAGATGAGAGAGAAACATTGATCAGCTGCCTCCTGCGCACCCCTATTAGGCATGTGCCCGCAGCCAGGATACATGCCCTTGACTGGAATCAAACCCAGGACCCTTCAGTCTGCAGGCTCACTCTCTTTCCACTAAGCCAAACGGATCACCGCTCACTCCTTTATTTTTAATCTCTTAGTATGCTTAAAGACTGGAGTTCCCTTTTTTCGTTTTTCTTTACAACGTGGCCTAGACAAAGTAAAGAGATTAACTAAGCTGATACTAACGAGATCACCGTGGAAGGGCAATGAAGAGATTATGGCCCCGGTATAAAGCCAGGCCCAAGAAGATGTGGGCTGCATTTGGAGCCAGCTCTCCAGGGGATACCGTCTCTCTGGATCCTGCAGTGCCTTCGCCTGGAATTGGGATTTCGCTGGTGGGAAGTAGGTCAGTTGATTTCTGCTATTTGTGCTTGTAACCAAAAGAGCTTTTGTTCCTATTGCAAATGTGAAGAACTGACTATAGTTCTATGTTATTTATGACTGAGAAATATGTATGTGGATATCATTCCCTTGAGTTAAAGCAAGTTTTTATTTTATTATTTTATTTTTTTAAAGTATGTATTGATTTTTTAGAGAGAGAGAGTCAGGGGGAGGGATAGAGAGATAGAAACATCAGCAGCCCCCTGCATGCCCCTTACAGAGGATGGAGCCCACACTCCCAGAATTCATCTGGGGACCTCAAGGTTTATGGATGATGCTCAACCATTGAGCAGCACTCGCCAGGCTAAAAAATCAGGTTTAAAAACAAAAACTTGTACCCAGCCAGTGTCCTCAGTGGCTGAGCACTGCCCCATGAACCAGAAAAATCCCCATTGGAAGCTCATATTTCAGGTTCTATCTCCAGAAGATCCAGGATTCTTTCTCTTTGATGATCGTGTCTCTTTTCTCTTCTCCCTCCTCTTTAAAATCAATACAAACATTTTAAAAACAACACAAAAAAACTTTTTCAGACTTGTGGGGTTACTTTGTTTCTTAATATTTTCTTGGTAAAAATCACAAAGATTTTCAGCAAAAAGCCTCACATTTAGGGAGCCGATGACCAATAAATGGGTTTCTAGATCTGGTTAAAGAGGATTGGAAGGGATGTGGGAAATAAATAAGGGATGTAGGAGATAAAATGGAGGTTTTTAATTAGGGATGGGGCATTAGAATGGGGAAGGTGATTTTGCCTGACCTCTGGTACAGAATGTTTCATTTGAAGGTTGTATCTGTAAATAAATCCTTTTCTGGATCCTAATGTATCATAATTTGGAATCAAGGTTTTACAATAGCAGAAGGCAAGCACTTTTTGGTTATTGTTTTTCCTTGAAAGCATAACACTGTAGAAAACAACGACATGTTAGATCAGAAAGCAACTTTTCCTGGTAAGGTATCATTGATTGATGCAAAGTACAAATATGTGTATTTAATTTTTTGACTTTTCCTTTAGGGCCTTGTATGACTTAGTTTTTAAATTGGTTTCAAAGATGAAGGGAGAGGAGAGAGAGAGAGAGAGAGAGAGAGAGAGAGAGAGAGAGAGAGAGAGAGAGAGAGAGAGAGAGAGAGAGAGAGAGAAACATCACTGATGAATGAGAATCACTGATTGGCTGCCTCCTGTATGCCCCACACTGGGGATCAAGTCCCCAACTTGGGCTTGTGCCCTTGATCAGAATGGAACCCAGGATCCTTCCACTGAGCCAAAGTGGCTAGGGCTAGATTTTGTTTTGCAACTGGGACCTGGACAAAGTGAGATGACTAACTAGGCCCCTCCCCCTGAGATCTCATCTGATTGGCAGTGAGGAGATTACTATGGTCCAGGTGTAAAGCCAGGTCCATGAGGATTTGGGGCTGCATCTGGCGGCCAGCTCTCAAGCAGACATGGTCTCTCTGGATCCTGCAGTACCTTCACCTGGAATTGGGATTTTGCTGGTGGAAGGAAGGTCACTTGATTTCTACTATTTGTGCTTATGAACCAAAGAGCTATTTTCCTATTACAAATTTAAAGAATTGACTATAGTCTTACATTATTTATGATTGAGATGTATGTATTAGGCTCTCTTCCCTTTAGTTAAAGATTTGATTTTATTTTTAAAGTATGTTCTAATTTTCTTTAAATTTTATCAATTTATTTACTTTTAGAGATAGAGAGGAAGCGAGAGATAGAGAGGTGGAAACATCAATGAGAGTAAAACAGATCAACAGCCCCTTAATGGGGATTAAGCCCACAATCTGGGCATGTATCTTGACTGAGAGTTTATCTTGGTTCATGGATCAGTGCTCAACCGCTGAGTCAAAACCACCAGGCTGGAAAACACTTTGAAAATAAAACTTGTGCTCAGCCAGTGTCCCTCAGTGGTTGAATGTGAACCCATGAACTAGGGAATAGCCTCTGGATGCCCAGATTTGGGGCTCAATCCCCATTAAGGGAGGCAGCAGATCCAGAATTCTCTCTTATCATCGATGTTCCTATCTCTCTCTCTCCCTTCCTCTCTGAAACCAATAAAAAATCAATAAAATTTTTAAAAATAGTCAGACAAACCTATTTTTTAGACTTTGGGTTATGTGTTTTTCTTAATATATTTTTGGTATAAACCACAAAGGGAGAAGCCTGGCATTTAGGGAGCTGGTTTAATAAGCGTGTTTCCAGATCTGGTTAAAGAGTGAATCCATTGGCAGGGACTTGGAAAACATTTGAGATAAAATTAGAGTTTTTTGTTTGTTTATTTGTTTGTTTATTTGTTTTTGTGCTGACAGTTATTATTTCCTTGAACTTCAGCTCTTTTTTAAAAATATATTTTTCTTGATTTTCAGAGAGGAAGGGAGAGGAAGAGAGAGATAGAAACAGCAATGATGAGGGAGAATCACTGTCCTGCAGGCCCCACACTGGAGATTGCCCACAACCCAGGCATGTGCCCTGAGTGGGAGTCAAACCATGATCTACTGATTCATAGGTTGATGCTTAACCATGGAGGCACACTACCCGGGCCGCCTATGTGCTTTTGAGAAAGTGAACTATTTTTATTTTCAAAAATACTAGCAACAATGTGTTCCTAAGATTAAACTTTAATTTTTTAAAACTTTCCCTGTTGCATTTTTACTTGTGTCCCCTATTTTGTCATTCAGTGCCTATTTGTACTTTTTATGCTTATGTCTTTTCACTTCTAATGTTTTTTCCTAAGAACCAGGTTTTAGAATAATTTCTATTAGGTGTTAGGGGTGTGTGTGTGTGTGTGTGTGTGTGTGATTATTTATCAATATTCTGTGTTCTTGTCTTCCGGTTTAGATTTTCAACCTCCTTGAGGAGACTCTCCACTATTTGGGGTGAGGAGCCATCCGTATACTGAAGCTGTGACTCAGGAGAAGCCTCAGAGACTCCAGCACCCCCACAGGGGAGCCCCCAGAGCTGCAGGCTGAGCCTGGCAGCCCCCAGTGCCTGCTCCCTGGGAACAAAAAGCACTGACCAGCGTGGGTCCCCCTGGTGAGGCCAAAAGCCTGGAAAAGGCTCATTTTTCAAACACTCAATCTGAGTGACTGTGTCACAGACACACCAAAACTTAAAGAGAGAGAGAGGTCGCTGTTACTTTGAGGAGCGAACAGTCGGTAGAGGGTGACAAAATATGCAGGGCAACAAAACCTTTAACTTGGAGAAGCCAAACCGTGCTTCAAGAAGGCATCAGCAACAGCAGCCGCCGCCGCCGCCGCCACCAGAAGTACCTGCCAATAGACAAGAAGCCAGCAGCCAACATGAAGGCTTCACTATTGACCTGAAGCATTTTAGGAAACCAGGAGAGAAGACCTTCACCCAACGCAGCCGGCTCTTTGTGGGCAATCTTCCGCCTGACGTCACTGAGGAGGAAATGAGGAAGCTGTTTGAGAAATACGGAAAGGCAGGCGAAGTCTTCATTCATAAAGATAAGGGCTTTGGCTTTATCTGCTTGGCAACACGAACCCTGGCGGAGATTGCCAAAGTCGAGCTGGACAACACGCTCCTCCGTGGAAGGCATCTGCGGGTGCGCTGTGCCTGCCACAGTGCATCCCTCTCAGTCCGAAACCTGCCTCAGCATGTGTCCAACGAACTGCTGGAGGAAGCTTTCTCTGCATTCGGCCGGGTGGAGAGGGCCGTGGTCATTGTGGACGACCGAGGGAGGCCCTCGGGAAGAGGCATTGTTGAATTCTCAGGGAAGCCAGCCGCTCAGAAAGCTCTGGACAGATGCCGTGAAGGCTCCTTCCTGCTGACCGCATTTCCTCGGCCCGTGACCGTGGAGCTCATGGACCGGTTAGACGATGAAGAAGGACTTCCAGAGAAGCTGCTTACAAAGAACCAGCAGTTTCACAAGGAGAGGGAGCAGCCACCTAGATTTGCACAGCCTGGCTCCTTTGAGTACGCCTATGCCATGCGCTGGAAGGCGCTCTTGGAGATGGAGAAACGGCAGCAGGACCAAGTGGACCGCAACATCAGGGAAGCTCGTGAGAAGCTGGCGATGGAGATGGAGGCTGCTCGCCAGGATCACCAGGTCATGCTCATGAGGCAGGACTTGATGAGGCGCCAAGAAGAACTCCGAAGGATGGAGGAGCTGCACAGCCAAGAAGTGCGAAAACGAAAGCACCTGGAGCTGAGGCAGGAGGAAGAGCGCAGGTGTCTAGAGGAAGAGATGAGGCGACAGCAGGAAGAAATGATGCTGCGACAGCAGGAAGTATTCAAGGGAACCTTCCCTGAGGCGAGAGAGCAGGAGATGCGGATGGGCCAGGTGGCTATGGGAGGTGCTATGGGCATAAACACCCGAGGTGCCATGCCCCCTGCTCCTGTGCCTGCTGGTACCCCAGCTCCTCCAGGACCTGCCACTATGATGCCAGATGGAACCTTGGGATTGATCTCACCAACTACCGAACTCTTTGGCCATGCTGCTACAATGGAAGGAATCGGGGCGATCGGTGGAACCCTTCCTGCATTCAACCATGCAGCTCCTGGAGCTGATTTTGCTCCAAACAAAGGTCGCAGATACTAAAAATTGCAGTGTCTAGATTCCCAAAACCCTTAAGAGGAGGATCGTTTTTGGACTAGCCAGAATTCTACCCTTTTTAAAGTGTTAGGGATTTCTTCCAACTGTTAGATCTTCCCTGCCTGTACTGCTCTAGGGAGTATACTGGAGACTGAGGTCAAGGGTTGGGTGATATTTAAATCATTTCTGTTATATTGTTGAATAAATCATTCTGGTACATTGTTGAATCATGTCTGTGTGGTGCATTCTTGAAATCTCTCGATTATTGAAGGCCAGGGGTGGGGAGCCTTGGCAAAGTGGATCCCGTTAGAGCCCCCATGAATCTTGATCATTCCACTCTGTTTATCCTGTTCTATTTGCATTCTCATTCTTAAATTTCCTGACCCTGGAGACACTGCCACATGTACCACAAAAACCACAAATGTCCTCCATCACTTTATTCATTTCCAAGTGGGAATTCAGGCAAATGTCTGCAGAGGTCACAAATAACATAACATACATACAGTTCTGTTATACCCCATATATTATCCCTTCATACCATCAGGAATATATTTTTCTCTTAGAGATTTTCATTTTAGTGTATCTTTAAAAATTTCTTTTAGGTTAACTCTTTTTTTCTCTCCCCTCCACCCTATTTGTTGTATAAAAAGCTTGTAAAATGGGAAAGTGGGTGGGCATGTTATCTTTTCTCCCGTGCTGCTGTAGACTACTCTATGCCTCAAGATTGGGCTTGCTTTTGGGAAGCATTTTGGTTAATAAAACATTACTTACAAAAAAGGCTTTCAGCTGTGGCAGTGACGTTTTGTTGATCAGCCTCTAGGGTCCATAGTTATTTGGGGGCAACATTAGGTGATTCTGAGAACCTCGCTGAGGCACTTCCGAGCCTCCGAGTCACTTTACACGCAACAGCCACAGTGAGCCCAGGAGCTCCTCTCTCCTGCGGCTCTGACACACCTTCTCCCAGGCCCCTGCTCAGGCTGAATCTAGACTGTTTACCCAATGAGTCTGTCAGCCAGCACTGCCTTAGGGATGGTTTTTTTTGTTTGTTTGTTTGTTTGTTTTTTGCCCTGCCCACATAACTCAGTATTTGCCCACCTACCCATGAGCTAGGAAGTGGTGGTACAATTCCAGTCAGGACACATGCCTGGGTTCAATGCTTGATTCTTAGAAAGGGGCATGCAGGAAGCAGCCATTGATTGATTCTCTCTCATCATTGATGTTTCTATCTCTCTTTCCCTCTCCCTTCCTCTCTGAAACCAATAAAAACATACTAAAACAATAAAAAAGAAATAAAAGATACAGTTTTTATTGATTTCAGAGAGAGAGCAAGTAAGAGGGATAGATAGAAACATCCACTAGAGAGAAACGTAGATCGACTACATGATCCCATGGGGGATGGAGCCCACACTCCAGACATGGGCCCTGACTGGGAATGGACAACACCATCACTGAGCCACACGGCCGAGCAGAATATTTGTCATTTTACTTGTGTTTGTGTTTTAAATTCTTGGTGCTTCCATTTAATTCCTCTCAGAAAATATTTAATTAAAGAGTCTCTTTTAATTAACCCATCACAGTTAATGTCAAGAATTAAAAAACCAGTTTAACCCACAGTCTCATTTCAGTTCAGGAGCAGGAAGTTGTTGCTCAGAGCACCAGGGAGGAAAGGCAGGGATGGGGAGGGCCCAGCCCCCCTCTGTTGGACAGGAAAGTGTGGGGAGCAGGGCTGGGCCAGCCTCCCCATCAGAGAGAGAGTCTTGTGTCAGGAAGTGGGAATATGAACACATCTCTCATCACTCAGTCCCCACAAGGCAGCTGCCTCAGTCTTTAGAGACACATCAGAGCCTTGGGCATAGCTTCCTCCTTTCCCACTGGGCGCCTCCCCTCCACTTTCTCTTCCTCTCCATCCCCCCATCACAGCTCCAGGCACAGCTCAGAGCAGAACCAGGCCCCAGCGATGCCCATGATGATGAAGAAGGTCTGAGAAGGGGGCTCTCCTCTCAGACTCAGGGGCTCGGGCAGCCCCTCGTGCTACAGGTGGCACGTGTATCTCTGCTCCTCTCCAGGGGGCACCACAGGGCCACCCACTCTGGAAGGTGCTGTCCCCCGCAGGCCTGGTCTGCACAAGCTTCCTGGCCTGGGTCTGGTCCTCCGGGTCACACTGCCAGGTCTGGGTGATGTCCGCAGGGTAGAAGCACCGTGCCCAGCACCACAGGGAGACCTCAAGGTCAGAGATAGGCTGGTGGGTCACCTGTGCCTCTGGAGGGTCTGAGGGCTGCAGGGCCTCCTTCCCTTTTCCAGGTAAATGCGGAGCCACTCTATGCAGGTGCCCTGCAGGTAGCTCTTGGGATGCTCAACCTCACCGTTCCCCACTCCCCCCTTCCCCATTTCCGAAGGGTGATCTGAGCGGCCAGGTGGGCCTCGGTCCAGGAGGTCAGGTCCGCGTTCAGGGCGATGCAGTCTGCACCTGCGGAGGAGGCGCCTAGTCCCTGGGTCCCATGTTGCAGCCTTACATGACCCGGATGGTGTGAGACCCGCCCTCCCTCTGGTCTTAGGAGCCGCGCAGGATGCTCAGGCTCCCTGGGTAACACTGTGCGGGTCCCTTGCACCTCCCCGTTTCTATGTCCCCGTGCGGAGGGTGCTCCCCTCCACCCAGGGCTGCAGCATGCCCTGTGCCAGGGGCTCCGCCCTCGGGCTCCCCGCGTAGCTGTCCATCAGCACGAACTGACTGAGTGTAGTCCAAGCAGCCAACCACGAAGTTCCCGGGCTCCCCAGCCAGGAGGGGACATGATGGTGTAGACAAACCTCAGGGAGTGGGGACCGCCCCAGGTGGGGGTCAGGACCTGTGCCCCCAGGAGCAGCAGGAGGTGGGTGGGGGACCTCAGGATCCGCATCCTCGGCTTTGCGGGGGGACCATCTCCTACTTACATTTTATTAAAGTTGTCCCCAGTGTGTATTTGGCAAATAAAGAAAGGTAGAATCCTTCACATGCTTTTTCAAAATTCAGAATGATATAAGAGACGTAGCTAGTTAAAAACAAGAAAACAGGGCCATATCGGAGTCGCTCACGCTAGGTAGGCAGCACCTCACCAAACCACACTGACCTTAATGACTCTCTCCCAGAGATGAGGCCTCGGGGACTGGGCCAGCACCAGTGAGGAGGGCGTGTGCCCACTGGGCCAGGTGAGCTGCACCTGGAGCAGATGGAGAACTGACCCGTATGGGGAGGTCTCGGAGAGACAGGAAGCAGGTCCCAGTTGTTTTGAATGTTAAGGGACATTTTGATCAGTCTCTCCTAAAGGGATATTTTGCATTATTCCGGCTTTTACAGTTCTGGAGAAAGGTCCTGGGTACATGCCCCAGGGCAGGCTGCTTCCTGGTAAAAAGCCTGCGGTGAGGGTGCTGTGTGTCCTGTAGCTACGAAGCCTGGCACCAGAGGTCCAGGATTCATCTACCACCGCTTAAGGCGGGACCCACGCTCTGCGGCCTGCGCTCCTGGCCCAGCGTGGAGACACGGTCCTGGGCACCTGGTCTGTGACTTCAATAAAAGACGTCTGCTTTGCAAAAAATAAAAATAAAAATAAACTTTAAATAATATTAAAAAAAAAAAAGAAAATCATCAGACAAACTGTAATAGATGTGCATCCTACAATATAACTAAGCAATACTTCCCCAAATTGTCAAGTTTCTACATAAACATTTTGTCAGACACATGTCTGAGAATCTATTACAGCTGAGAGAAACCAAATGTACTGTGGGATCTTGGATGTGATCTTGGAACATAAAATGAACTTGGGTAAACACTGAGGAAATCTGAATAACAGATCTATTGAGTAACATACAGGCATAGGTTCATTCACTGTAACAAATGCACCACAGTAATGTAAGGTGTTAGTAATGGGGCAAAAGGGTGAATTTGAAGTGGAAAATCTGTGCAGCTCTCACCTTCTAGGGATTTACAAGAGTTTTAGGAGCTCTGTGCCAGAAACAGGGATGAAGACTCAATTAATATATGTTCCTGTTACAAACCCCAATGTCACATAAAAATATACTATTTTTCATCTGTTTCTTTTAACCTGTTTAATTTTCTGTGATTTACCCTTACAAGTGTTATGTGGGCATTCAATAACGGCCATATTTTCATGGTGAAACTTGCCTTTGAGCCTCCATTCTAACGTGTCTGATTTTAGCCCCATAACTCCTGCTTTCTGTTTGTATTTGCACCATCGTGTTTTGCTTGTCCATTTACTTGTAACTTTTCTGAATCACTTTGTGTTAAAAGATAAACTGAGGTCATTTTAAAAGTGGAAGGATGCAATCAGGCAGCACTCAGTGGAGCAGGTGGGAAGCAGCTCCTGGGAGCTGTGCAAAAGGAAAGGCCTCTACAGGCAGAAAGGGGCAGGGGCAGGAAGTCACACGAGGCAAACACCCGGGTGGGTTATTGCGAAGTTACCCTCCTTAGGGAATGGAGGGCCATGAGGCAGATGACCTGGCTGATGCTCACCAGGCGAGTCCTGGTTGGCTGCCTGGGGTTCCATCTCTGGGAGAGAGTTGTTAAGGTCAGTGTGGCTTGGTGAGGTGCTTCCTTTGCATGAGCGACTCCAATATGGCCCTGTTTTCCTGTTTTTAACTAGCAATGTCTCTTTTATATCATTCAGATTTTTAAAATGCATTTGAGGGGGTGAGGCGGTTGTGGGGTGGGGAGGCGGATGCCATGGAGGAATGGAGGCCAGTAGCCAGGCCCGTGCTGAGTTCGGTGAATTTGCGATATTTCCCAACTCATCTGGAACCACAGCCTGGGGGCTGTGCGTCTCCTGTGGCTCCACTTCCACAGGAGCGGCATCCCTGCCCCACGCTGCCACCGGGCACGACCGCCGCATGCACAGCTACCGAGGGCCCCTTTGGCTCTTCTGAGATGCTGGGACACATGACGGGCTTCTGGTTCACCAAACGGAGCTAGCTGTGCCAACTCTCCATGTTGATGGACAGCCTATTTTTGCCAATGCCACACTACCAGTGTGTGCACCCTAAAACAGTGATGCCTTCCGGTTGTCAAGCCTGACAATTCAGGAGACTGAGCATTGTGAGATCGCTCTACGGAGACCTGGAAGACCAGGCAGCTGAGAAGAAAGACCAGGAGCGGCAGACTCAGGGGCGTATTGAAAATCAACGGATGGAAAAGACTCAATATTTTCATTGAAATGTGCACTCCTAACACTCAGTTGTTGAAGGTATAGGCTAGTCTTAATCTAGATAGAGTACTACTGGTCCCTTATTCTCGGGGTCAAGGTCTCCTTCTTAGAGTGTCAAATGCTCCATTGCTTAAAAGACCTCGCAAGTTATTGGGATGTTTAGGAGTAAATGTCACAAAATGTGATGTCTGCCCTCCCCAGAAGAGTTTGTGAAGGGAAAGGCTCTTCCGTGGAAGAAGCTTTGTGTACATAACGCGGTGAGAATTGCAGCCTATTCTTTGATTGGCAGAAAGCAGTGGCATCTGCCTCTAATTGCCATATTGTGGCTGGGGATGTGTTTGTTGCCTCCGGCTTTGAGAAGACTGAGGTGACCTTGAGGCAGGGACAAATCAGTCTGCCCTGTGACACCCCGGTGCCTCTCCCATTATGAGCCTTCATCAGTGTTTGCTCAGTGAGCAAACCAGTGGATACTTTGGGGAAAAGGGTTTGGGAGGTCTACCCGCTTTTTCAGGGGGGGAAAAAAGGACCTTAGAGTGTATAGTAAATAAGTGTTTCAATAGGAATCATTTTTATAGAAAGCACTTCTTACAATTTCCTAAATTTTGTGCTTTTGTCTGTTCACTATTGTTCTGGTGCCGTTTTATTACTTTTTCTACCCCAGGATTTGCTTTTCACAGATACCATAATGATAATAGGTCTTCTGAAACTTGATATTTGCAGAGGGGATAGGAGAAAATAGCTGTCCTCCTGTAAACTCTAGTATGAAGGAGATACTGTCATAGTATAACTGAGTTTCTGCCTAGGGTGAGTATTTCTGGGTTTGTTTTGTTTTATTTGTTTTGTAAATCCCTGACACTTCTATTTGGCTCCACATTTTCCATTAGGCAGGATCTAGAGACACTTGACACCTGGCTGGAGGAGATGCCAAAGTCCCCACAGCCCTGGGAAGTTACTCCAGACAGTAGCCTGACATGTTTCGTCGTTTTATAAATATACAAATTCTTTCTTTTTAAAACTATATTTTATTGATTTTTTTTTTTTTTTTTTTTTTTTACAGAGAGGAAGAGAGAGGGATAGAGAGTTAGAACCATTGATGAGAGAGAATCATCTATCAGCTGCCTCCTGTATACCCCCTACTGGGGATGTGCCCTCAAACAAGGTACATGCCCTTGACTGGAATCGAACCTGGGACCCTTCAGTCTGCAGGCTGACGCTCTATCCACTGAGTCAAATTGGTTTCGGCCAAATCCTTTCTTATAGGCTGGACTTCAATTCACTCAGTGCTTCCGTCAGGCTTCTTTTTGTGTAACAGTTTTTTGGGTTTTTTAAATCTGTAGAGAAAATTTCGGAAAAGACAGAAAAATAACAGGAAGAAAAAGGTCACTGCAGAAATACTACTTAAACACAATCACTAGCTTAACATTTTCAATTTTCAACTTTTGGTTGGCTTGTTTTTACGTAGTTGAGGTTATAACTGTGCATACAGTTTTGATTTCTTTCTCATTTAACTTGATGACTTCAATATCGCCTCCTGACATTTTTATAAGTTCTTCAGAGACCATAGTACAATCTTTCTCTTGAAAATAATGTTGGGATATTTCTTGGCATCTTTCGTTTCTACGCTAACCTTTGAGCTCAACTCCTGTGCTCTGCAGAAGGAAGTGAGTGACACAAACCCCCCACTGCTGTCTCACTAGGTATTAAGTTTCACCTAACCTTATTCCCCTCTTCAGCATTCAGCAAAAGAGTTGGCTTTAGGCCTCCCCGAGAGAGAAGACCCTGTTGTAGTACTCATTAGTGATACACCTCTAAATATCTACTTTTTTGTATATTGAAGAATGAATGCTGGTATGGAAGATAGCAGAGAGAATTCCAGAGTCAGACAGGAAGGAGATTTAAGGATGTCTGCTGATGCTGGTTTTATTGTATTTTTAACCTGTCTTTGTGTCAGAATGAGATTTCATGTTGCTCTTGTTAAAAGACGCAATTTGAGAACTATGTTTCTTGTGTTGTCCTAGGAAGACTGAAAATCTGTAGCATAAATAATGTATTGCTTGTTTGAAGTCTTATGAATGTATTAAATGTATTAATAGACTCTGTGATTTCCTATTTTTGAGTTTTTAAAAAAAGCTGTTCGTTAATACATTAAATGGTGCTGAGTAAAGTGAAAAAATAAAAATGCATTTTAGCCCTAATTGGTTTGGCCCAGTGGATAGAGCGTCAGCCTGCAGACTGAAGAATAAGGTTCAATTATGGTCAAGGGCATGTACCTTGGTTGTGGGCGCATCCCCAGAAGGGGGTGTGCAGGAGGCAGCTGATCAATGTTTCTCTCTCATTGATGTTTCTGTCTATCCCTCTTCCTTCCTCTCTGAAAAAAATCAATAAAAAATTGTTTTAATGCATTTTAAGAATTTTTACCTTTCTTTATTTTGCAGCTATAAACTGGGGATAGCAACTTTAATCAAACATAAGTAAAATTACAAATATGCCATCCAGGCGGTGCTGCTCAGTGGTTGAGCATTGACCCATGAACTAAAAGGTCCCCTGGTTGTTGAATGGTTCTATCTCTCTATACCTCTCTCTCCTTTTCTTTCTCTCTAAAATCAAGGAAAACAAATTATTTCAAAAATTATAAATATCCCTGAGGCAGTACTGGCTGACAGACTCATTGGGTAAACTGGGAGTAAGTGTGTCAGGAGAGAGAGAAGCTCCTGGGCTCAGTCCTGGCTGCAGCATATCCAGTGGAAGCCAGTGTCTTAATCCGCAGAACTACTCAACTGGAAATTAATCCCAACTTCTAAAGACATCCACAGGAATGTGAGCTCTCCTTTCTGAGCGGGCTCCAAGCCATTAGCAGACTATGAGTTCCATCTATCTATCTATCTATCTATCTATCTATCTATCTATCTATCATCATCATCTACCTATCTATCTCCTACTGTAATTTAGTTTAGAATACCTCAGAATGTTCTTCTTATCAAGGCACACCATGGTAGGGGAGGGATACTGAAAGTGATAACAAAACCAGCCATCTTGCTGAAACCCGTTTGGCTCAGCGGTAGAGCGTCAGTCTGTAGACTGAAAGGTCCCAGGTTCAATTCCAGTCAAGGGCATGTACATTGGTTGCGGGCACATCCCCAGTGGGGGGGGGGGGGTGGGGTGTGTGTGAAAGAGGCAGCTGGTAGATGTTTCTCTCTCATTGACGTTTCTAGCTCTCTATCTCCCTTCCTCTCTGTAAAAGATCAATAAAATATATTTTAAAAACAAAACAAACAAACAAAGAAAACCAGCCGTATCCATGGCATCCACAAATGGGCTGAGCATCCCTGAGAGGTACCACAACAGTCTAGGGCAGCTGCCCCAATGGGGAGGTCAATTTGGCTAGCAGCTGGGATCCTGCTTGGCATAGTAGTAGAAACATCTGGTAGCTTAAGACATGGGTCATTTCTAGGAGATGGAGCTTCTTGACTGTGGACCCACGCTGGTCAGCACTCTTTGTGCCCAGATTGTTGCTTGGCTGGGAGGTGCTGTGGTTCCCAGGGTTGAGGGTCAGATACAGCCATATTTGGCTAAATCTTCATCAGTGATGGGCTCAAAGATGGAAGACCACCCATTGGCAGGGAATGTGTCCCAGGACCCCAGAGAGGCAGCTGCCTCTAGCTTTAGCTCCAGGGAGTCACAGTCAGGAGTCCAGGAAATTTGGGCAACTGTGTCGGGGGCCTGGACCATGGAGGCATAAGAGTAGTCCATCCTTACAACCTCATCCAGCTGGGTATCCCATAAAATCAACATCATTAAAATGTCCATACTATCCAAGGTTATCTGTAGATTCAATGCAATCCCTATTGACATACCAATGGCATATTTCACAGGGCTAGAACAAATACTCCAAAAATTTATATGGACTCGCCGAAACCGGTTTGGCTCAGTGGTAGAGCGTCGGTCTGCAGACTGAAAGGTCCCAGGTTTGATTCCGGTCAAGGGCATGTACATTGGTTGCGGGCACATCCCCAGTTGGGGGTGTGCAGGAGGCAGCTGGTCGATGTTTCTCTCTCATCAACGTTTCTAGCTCTCTATCTCTCTCCCTTCCTCTCTGTAAAAAAATCAATAAAATATATTTTTAAAAAATTATATGGACTCAAAAAGGACTGTAAATAGCTGCCTCAATTTTGAGAAAGAAAAACAAAGTTGGAGGGATCACAATACCAGATTTCAAATTATACTACAAAGCCACCATAATCAAAACAGCCTGGTACTGGCACAAGAGCAGGCATATAGATCAATGGAACAGAAAAGAGAACCCAAAAATTGACCAAAGTCATTATGCTAAATTAATATCTGAACAAAGGAGGCAAGAGAATACAATGGAGTGAAGTCATACTTTTCAATAAATGGTGTTGGGAAAATTGAACAGATAATTGCAAAAAAAAAAAAAAAGAAAAATGAAACTAGACCACCAACTTATGCCATACACAAGAATAAATTCAAAATGGATAAAAGACTTAAATGGAAGTTGTGAAACCATAAAAATCCTAGAAGTAACCACAGGCAGCAAAATCTCAGACTCTCATAGCAATATGTTTAGAGATATATCTTCTAGGGCAAAGGAAACCAAAGAGAAAATAAACAAATGGGACTACATCAAAATAAAGTTTTTGCACAGCAAAAGAAACCATCAACAAAATGAAATGGGAGAACATATTTGGCCATGATACATTTCATAAAGGGCTAATATCCAAAATATATAAGGAACTCATACAACTTAAGAAAAGGAAGACAATCTTAATAAAAACAATCCACTTAAAAAATGGGCAAGGAACCTACATAAACACTTCTCCAAAGTGGACATACAGGTGACCAAGAGACATATGAAGAAATGCTTCAAGTCACTAATCATCTGAGATGCAAATCAAAATTACAACGAAATATCATTTCACACCTGTCAGAATGGCTACCATAAAAAAATTACAAGTGCTGGCAAGGATGTGGAGAAAGGGAATCTTAGTACACAGCTCTGTTGGTGGGAATGCAGACTGGTGCAACCATTATGGAAAACAGTATGGAGTTTCCTCAAAAAATTAAATCTGGAACTCCCATTTGACCAAATGACCTCACTTCTAGGAATATATCCAAGAAACCCAAAGCACCAATCAGAAAAAATGTATGCACCCCTATGTTTATAGCAGCATGATTTGCATTAGCTAAGATCTGGAAACAGCCCAAGTGCCTGCCCATCTGTAGGTGAGTGAGTAAAAAGTTGTGGTATATTTTTACCGTGGGATACTATGCAGCAGTAAAAAAAAAAGAATTTCTTACTATCTGATGCAGCATAGAGGGACCTGGAGAGTATCATGCTAAGTGAAATAAGTCAGTCAGGGAAAGATAAGTATCATATGATTGCATTCCCATATGGAATCTAAGTAACAAAATAAACTGATGAACAGAGTAGATCCAGAGACATGGAAGCATGGAACAGTGTGGATTCTCAGAGGGAAGGTGGGAGAGGGTGAGTGGGTGGGAGATAATTAACCAAAGACCTTGTAGGCATATATGCCTAACCCATGGACACAGATAATAGGGTACTGAACACCTGAGGGGCGGGGAGGAATGGAGGAGGTCATTGGGGGGGGGGGGGGGATGGAGACATAAGTAATGCTTCTTTAAATAAATACATATTTTATTGATTTTTTACAGAGAGGAAGAGAGAGGGATAGAGTTAGAAACATCGATGAGAGAGTAACATCAATCAGCTGCCTCCTGCACACCCCCTACCGGGGATATGCCCGCAACCAAGGTACATGCCATTGACAGGAATCGAACCCCGGACCTTTCAGTCCGCAGGCTGATGCTCTATCCATTGAGCCAAACCGGTTTTGGCATATGTAATACTTTTAACAATAAATATTAAAATAAATGCATATGAAACAAAATGTTATCCATATAAGACCACAAAATAAATATCAATAAAAATTCCACAGAATCAGCATATTGAGTAGTCTTGACCACAATCAAATCAACTGAAAATCAGCAACAAAAGGCCTCTCTCCTGCCCCTTGCAGACTGCCTCTCTAAGCCACCGCTTTCCTGACCTCTAATCTCATTTATTTTTTGTTGTTCAGTGATAAATTTTAGTTGCATTTTTGGAACCTGGCTTCTTTGGCAAAACCCTCTAGTTTTGATAGCTTGTGGTTAGTTTTGAATGTCTTTGTGTTTTGCAGCAACTGTAACAGCAATTAAAAAAGAAGAAAAGACTAGATGTTAAAGACAAGCCATTGTTGGGTGGTGGTCTGAAGTATGAAGAAACTTTTGTTTATGGGCGGGGGGGAATGTTTCCCGGAGCAGACTCAGGATGCCTGTGGCTGTGTCCAACAACGAAGGCAGGGTGGAATCACATTAGGTGTTTATTGAGAAGGCTGCCAACCGAGAAGGCAGGGAGGGTGCTTACAAGCATCAAATCCTGCCTTCTAGCCAGGGGCAGGGGACATGATTATAAGGGGAAGGGGCTAGGGAACGGAATGCAGCTATGTGCAGTCCCGAAGGCCCGCAGATGTCATCAGCTATCAGGTGATGAGATGATATGGACGAGATGATGTGTTTGACTCCTGATGGGTCAGCCTGACCATGCTTCTCGGTTCTGCTTGCTGGATCCACAGCTGAGTCGCCTCCCTAATAGCTTCGCACAGGCCTTGAAAAGAAAACTTAAGAAAAACATAATCCCCTATTCTTATATAAGAAAATTAACCCCTTTTCACATATGTATATGTGTTCTAAGATTTAAAATAATATTATTTTCAGATTAATTCAGGTGCTCTATTAGATTATAGGTCCCCCCCTACCAAAAGGAGTATATCTGTCCTCCTTTTAACAATAAAGATACACTTAAAAAAAAAAAAAAAAGAAAAGAAACGTCTGCTCAAGTGCAGCTGATGTTTGGGATTTTCTGGATTTGGGCAATTTTCGGTTGCCATAACTTACTTTTTCTCTTTACTTAGGGAATTCTTGTTAAGGCGATAATCCTTGGGTCTTAAAGGGACATGAACTAGCTTTTTGGCTTTTGGACAAGGCCAGGCATGTCATTTCCTCAGATTTTCTATTTGTCAGGTAGAAATTTAAAGATAAGAGTGGAGAAGAAAGAGAGAGACAGATGTCAATTGAATTTCTGATCTGGTATCTTCTGGTTTAAAAAAAAATTTTAAAGAGAAAAAAAAAGTCAACAATAAAAAATGAACCAACCATATTTATTTGAAAATTAATATTCACATATTATCTACAATAATATCTATATATGTAAAAATATACTGATTTTTATGTTCAGCTCAAGCAATTAGTAAAATCAGAATTATTCAAAAGAAAAGAAATGTTTGCATGCTAGAAAGGGAAACAGGCCCAGCTAGTGTGGCTCTGTGGTTGAGTGTAGGCCCTGCACCAAGAAGTCACAGGTTCTATTCCTGGTCAGGGCACCTGCCCAGGCTGCAGGTTCCATCCCGAGTGTGAGGGAGGCAACTGTTCCATCGATATTTCTATCTTTCCCTCTCTCTTTAAAATCAATAAAAACGTATTTTTTAAATCTTAAAATTAATGAAGGAAAACACACATACAAAAATAGAGATGATTAATAAAAAACATAAATCTGATACTTTTAAAGAAGACTAAAATGCAGATCTGGAGATACTATGAAGGAAGAAGTTTCCAGGACTGGGGCAGCAAATACACACCATGAGCCTGGAGCATCTTGCAGTGCCTGAAATTAAGGACATCCTGAAAACAAACATGTCAATGGGGACACATCAAAGGGGCATGGGAACCCAAGGAAAGGGCTCCCAATGGCCAGAGCTCAAACAATTTCGGCAACAGAGGAAAGCAGTACTGAATTATAACCACAAATATAATCCCTGATAGAAATGGTTGAGTATATAAAAAGTTGGAGGAGACAAGTAAGTCCCTCCTGCAGAAGATTCCAAATAACCTATGTAGAACTGCAGGTAAAGGAGGGAGGAGTGACACCCTGTCCCCTGAGTGTGGGCTACAAATATGGACTGTCTTCCAGAGTACAGAGCGGCAAGTGGCAGTGGGTGGGCCACTTGCCACAGTAGAAATTCTATAGTGGAGAATGCTGACAAATACTATTTCAGTGAGAGTCCTCAATTATGTTGATAGCTTATGCCTTTGATATGATGTGATAAAAATGGCACTTCACCTCTATAATCTTCCTCTAAAAACGCCACCTAAACCCTGGCTAATTATAAGAAAAACATTAGATACCCTGGCTGGTGTGGGTCAATTGGTTGGGTGTTGTCCCATGCACCTACAGGTTGCTAGTTTGATTCCTGGTTAGGGCATATGCTGGGTTTGGGACTCAATCCCCAATGGGAAGTGAGCAGAAGATAGCCAATTGATGTTCCACTCTCGGGTTGATATCTCTCTCTAAAAATCAATTGCATCCTACAATACACCTGAGCAATACTTCCCCAAATTGTCAAGTTTCCATATAAACATTTTGTCAAAAATAAATGTGAGAATCTATGACAGCGGAGAGAAACCGAATAAAAATAAATGTAACTTGGAATTTTGGATGTGACCTTGGAACATAAAAAGGACATTGAGGAAATCTGAATAACAGGTTTATTGAATAACGTATAGGCATTGATTCATTAACTGTAGCAAGTGTACCACAGTATTGCAAGGTGTTACTAATAGGAGAAACTGTGAATGAGATAGCATGGAGGTAGAGAATTGGGAACTCTACCAATTCTCTAATCAATTTTTTTTTATATCTAAAACTATTCTTAAAAATAAAGTATCACTAAGTGTAATAAAATAATAAACAAGAGGTGTCAAAGAAGAATATGAGAATGAAAAAAATTAGAAATATAATCTATTTTTAAAAACAGTCTACAAAATGATACAGCACAATATGAAACAAACAATTCTATAAACCAGTACATGATAATTTTTTAAAAGCAGAAAGGTTTAACATTTTTTTAATTATAAAATACGTGCTTACAGAAATTCACAAAGCAGCTTAACTTACACATATTAAGAACTATGAACATCTATTAATAACCGTAGAGTGAACAAAGTAGAACCACCTCCCAGGTCACTTATATTGCCCGTCGCTTAGTACCTGACTCAGGCTCCTCCTTCGGGAGAACTGCCTCATCCGCTTCTCCAATTAACCTGTCCGAACTACAAGCATATTAATTTCAGTAAACAATATGAAATTAAAGCTGTACCATTAAAAAAAAAAAAAACTTTATAGGACCTCTAAAAATAAATAAACCTTAAAGAAGAGAATGTTTTGCCCTAACTAGTTTGGCTCTGTAGACAGAGCGTCAGCCTGCGGACTGAATGGTCCTAGGTTCGATTCTGGTCAAGGGCATGTACCTTGGTTGTGGGCACATCCCCAAGAGGGGGTGTGCAGGAGGCAGCTGATCAATGTTTCTGTCTCATCGATGTTTTTTTTTTTTCATCGATGTTTCTGACTCTCTATCCCTTTCCCTTCCTCTCTGTAAAAAAATCTATATATATAAAAAAGAAGAGAATGTTTTAGTGTATCCTTTTGTGTGTATTTTTCCTTCATTGTGTCAAGCACATAGCTGGCTTTGTTTGGTTTGGGGGCTGCATTCAATTGTGTAAACGTTCCTACTGGCCCTGGGCCTCTGCATTCTTTCCTCTTCTGACCTCACTCCTTTGCTGTGAACATTCTCCCACACATCTGTTGGAGTACCCCGCACTAGTGCCTAAAAAATTAACCTCTTGGTCATAGGTTTATGTGAGTTCAAATTTTATCTTGCTACTCTTTCTCAACAGTTTTTACCAATTACACACTCACTAGCTTCACAGGAGGGTGGGTACTCTTCACTTTATTCGGTGCTTCGTATTGCTATTGCTGAGGGTGACTGAAATTATGTAAGGGAGAGCTGGCGCCAGGGGAAAGGTGATTTGCTTCTTTGAAATATTTCCTTTTGTATCCAAACTATCATTTTTAATTGCCAAAACTTATTCTGAGTCTGTGCATCTTCAATAGTAAAATCTAAGTCAAAATAACCATCAACTCTCCCTTGTATCACTAGATATTCTAAGTTCTTCTGCCCCCATTGTCCACAGAGCTATGCTGATTGAATATGTATGTCACATCATGTCAAGTGCTGCTTTAAATTGCCACTGCCTTATTTCAAGTTGAAACATATTACAATACCGCCCTAGCTGGTTTGACTCAGTGGATAGAGCATCTGCCTGCGGACCGAAGGGTCCTGGGTTTAATTCGGGTCAAAGGCACATACTTGGGTTGTGGGCTCGATCCCCAGTAGGAGACATGCAGGAGGCAGCCAATCAATGATTCTTATCATTGATGTTTCAATCTCTCTCCCTCCCCCGCCTCTTAAGTCAATAAAAATACTTAATGATTTAAAAGAAGAAAAATATTCAAATACCTAATATGAGTCATAAGTCCTACAGTTCTCCTTCTGTTCTATGACTCATACAAACAAGCTTCCTTTCTATTCCACACTAGAGCTGTTACATTTTGTTTTCTCTAAATGTGAACCTTTTGTCAGTTGGGTCTCAGAAAGGTTTCCTGCTCTAAGCTTTCCCTGATCACCAGAACCCAGGCCAGCCCCTGCCAATTCTGCCCTACTGCCCTATCCCCACATATTACCAATTGAAATGGTCTTGTTAATTTATTTAATGGATTTGTTTATTGAAATGAATCAATGAATTAACCATATGAAATACACATATAGCCTGACTAGAATGGCTCTGTAGATAAGCATCTATCTATGAACCAGGAGGTCAGTTTGATTCCCAATCAGGGCATATGCCTGGGTTGTGTGCTCGATCACCTGTTGGGAGTGTGCAGGAAATACCTCTCTGAAATCAATAAAAATATAAAAATAAATATGTACATATAGACTTGAAACAGTAAGAAGACTTGAAGAGAAAAAATTTGTATTTTTGTCCTCTGCTTGCTCATCTCTCCCAGCAACTCGGTACTACTGCTCAGCCAAGTGCCAAATGATTTCCACCACCAAGTCACCCTTAAGATAATGTCTGTACACCCAATTCCCCAGCCAGGCGGTCAGGCAGAACCCAACAACCATCACCACTTCATTCACCAACTCCACACAATTTTACTAGGCCATGAGAATATGTTTTGTTTAAAATGTTTTTATATAATTAGTAAGAACAAGTGCAGAAAACAGTAATCTCAAACCCTCAATTGGTTGAATGAACAATACTAGAAAAAAGTCAGATATCAGTTACCTTTAATATATTTGTGAACAAATACTGGTGATAGCATTTTAAACATATCAATGACTCAGAAAGATCATAACTGATTTTTGAGCCTCTGCTGACCTAATTGGTCAAAAGGGCCTGGTTTAGCATGAAAGGGGGGAAGGGGGCAGGGAAAGGAAGAAAAGGGAGGTAAACTGGAGGCGAACCAAAGCCCAGGATTCGTCTGAAGATGGGCAACATCCAAGCTGTTCCAGAGGATGGGAGTCTGGGGTCGATCAGTCTTTGGCAAACTCAGCAGAACCTTCGGGGTGCACAAGACACGGATGTCCAGTGGGTGAAAGCTCAGCTGGCCACAGGAGTTAGCAGTGTCCAAAGACATTCCAGGGTCTGGAAGGAGGAACAAACTGTAGCGATCCCGTTAAATACCAGGACTCAGCCTGTCCACAGGCAACACCAGGGAGCTCTCATTTAAGACCAATGACTTACAAAGTTGCTTACAGCTTTGAGATGTAGATGTGGCCAGGCTCAATGAATCTCCACACAAAAGAGCATGGAGAACAAAGGTAAATGTCCCCTAGGTTTAGGGGTCGGGAACACAGCAGCACCCAAAAGCCACCTTAGGATGCTGGGACCAGCGGTGCTGGGCTGTCCATGGAAGGTCTGTCCTCGGGCACAGGCTAGACTTGGGGATCCGGAGCTGTGTGCACTGTGCTCACTAGGCGGCGCCTCTTAGCCGGGGCCTTAACAATAGACTCTTGAGTCCCCTGTTCCCTAGGAGGACAACGACCATGACCACGACCACGACCTAGACCTCGACCACGACCACGACCACGACCACGACCACGTGTGCCAGTTGGCTGGAGATCCTGGGCAGATGGGCCAGAGGTTGGCTGTGAGGATGATGAGTCGGGCTTAATGGAGCAGAAGACTGCAAGTTGGGCGGTGGAGGCAGAACCCGGGGCTGGCCAGGGGCCCAGGGATGGCTGGAGCACAGGGGCCCGGCTGCCGCGTTGGCGGCGGGACCCACGGCCCGTGCCCACTGATCGAGGGGTGAGCATGGCCCGCCGCGGAGGCAGGTGCCTTAGGCCCAGCACTGACCTCCAGGCCGCCCGGCTCTCCCTCAAGGTGCTCAGCTCCTGGCTGCCCGGCGCCCTGGTCTCCACGTGGTCCACGCCAGCGCGGTCCTCCCCGCGCTTCCACAGCTCATAGCGCTCGGGCTGCAGGATGCGCACAAACACGTCCATGGAGAAGCTCACCCGGGCCTCCCCGCAGCTGCACTGAGAGGCCACCTTGCCGTAGTCCACCCAGCGCGGGGTGGCAAAGTTGATGGCCTCCGCGCAGTTGAAGCCGTGGTTGAAGCCGGCGTGGTAGCCATAGGGAAACGTCACCATGAACTCGCCAGCCTCCTGGGTGATGCGGCTGAACGGGACCCCGTTCTCCCTGAGGACAGTGGGCGAGATGAGGGCCACCTTGTGCCGCAGGAAGGCCTCGCAGCTCCGGGAGCTGCCCGGGAACAGCTCCCTGGCCAGGCGCTCCAGCCGCTGGCCGTGCTCGGGGGGCACCGCGTACCACGTCTTGGGCTCCCCGAAGTGCAGGTAGTTGATGCTGTAAAGGTCCATGTCCTCCGTGTGCCAGGCGAACGTGGTCTTCCACATGCCAAAGTACAGGTAGGGCGTGTTCACGCCTTCGATCACGAGCCCGCACTCCTGCTCCAGCAGGTCCTGGATGGTTCCCAGGTGGCCAAGGTTCCACTGCTTAGTGTTGGCATCAAACAGGGACCCGTTGATGTCAGCGCCATAGATGGGCGAATCGTACAGGCGCGTTTTCCAGTATTTCCGCTCCAGATCCTCGAAATCCACGTGTGGTGGGGTCTGATACTGTTCACTGTTGGCCAGCAGGCGGTATTCCCCCACTGTCATGGCCCTCTTCTTCTTGTGGTATTGGATGAACACGCCTGCTCGCCCCGATGCCACCTGCTGGAGTGGAGTGGCTATTACCATGTCATTGACATCATCATAGGTCTGTCTGGCTTTCCATTCCTTGGGTGGAACGATCTTGGCCAGGCCAGCTCGGTGAGCACCTTGGGATTCTATGGAAGCAATATATTTATCAAAATCATTAAACTCTTCTTTGGTTGGATAAAATATCATTATGTTACAATTTGGATTCTGGGCACAATTGGTCTTAGACTTTATAGCTTCCATCAATAAGCAAAGTCCAAAGTATCTTAGATAGTTGAGGATGCTAGAACACGCTTTTTCAAAAAATGGATTTGAATATCTATGAGGTAGGAGGAGCTTATGAGATAATTCTTCAAGCTATTACGACTTTTATGCAAACTAGATGGTAATGCTTATTAGGCCTGCTGATTCACCAGGAGACTCCACTCCTGTGATATTCCTCAGCTGGCTGCCTTCTGGAGATCTATTGAATTATGAAGTCCTGGCCGTGGTATAACAAGTGCAGTGTCTTCTGATAAGTCTTTAAAGCAAAACCTGAAAGAAAGAAAAAACACACAGAAAGGTTAAAAATTAATATTTAGAAGAAGTTATAGGGAGACTATAAATAATATACCACCATGGGATATTGAAAACTCCAAGAAGGCTACCATTTTATAACTTTACAATGTAAGAGATAGTGTGGGTGTGGAACAATTGGATTTTTTAATATTTCAGCAGAGAGAATGGAAATCATTACATTCACTTTGGAAAACAATTTGGACAGTATCCATTAAAATTGAGCATATGCATTGTATAAAAGAGAACATATACAAGTGCTATGATCCTACTGTTATCACATGCAAGGAAATGTGTCCAGCTGTTCACTGAAAGTCACATTCAAGAATGTTCATAACTACACTATTTCTAGTAGGAACAATGTTTCTATCTCTCTCTCCCTCTTCTAGTATTTTAAGAAAAAATAAATGACAGTTAACATTATTTTAATCCTCACTCAACGATATTTTTTTCCATTGCTTTTAGAGTGGAAGGAAGCGAGGTGGAGAGAGTGAGAGGAGAAATAGACACATCAATTGGTTGACTCCCGCATGCATCCCAACCAAGCCTGGGAATCAAGCCTGCAACTGCAAACAAGGTACACACCCTTGACCTGGAATTGAACCTACCACCCTTTGGAGTGAGTAGAGTGGAGAGGGGGCACACTCTAATCACTGAGCAACTGGCCAGGGGGCAAGTATCATACTTAATAGTAAAACAAAATAAATATTTTCAATAAAGTTAAAAACAAAGATAGATCAGCAAACTATTTCATAATGCAATTTCAAGTGGTCCCTTAATACTTAGTTTGCTAATCCTCTTATACTCTCCCAATTTCTAAGGTTTGCTATTCTCTAAATATTCTATTTCATCTTCCCCTCTAAAACTTCCAGAACACCTCCTCCATCTAGTTAGAATCCTTCAAATGTCCTTGAAGTCTTTACATGATCTGGCCCCCCATTACCTGGTGACTTTACCTCTTCCTACTCCATCCCTTGCCCTCTCAGTTCCAACCACCTTCCTGAATCTCAAATAAGCCTGGTATTCTGCCTCATGGTCTTTGTACACAGGCAACTCTCTTACCTCCTTAGCTTCAGCTCAGATATCACCTTGAAAAGATTTCCTCTGATGGCCTTGTTTTCTCTCAAGAAAAGTCTCCAAATAAAACATGTATTGACAATCAGAGCCCTTATGAGTGACTCTTTGAAAATCTAATCAGGCCAGCCCCACCCTAATCTTATTGGAACCCAAACAATTATAAGCTTCTCTTCTAACTGAACCACCCTCCCTTATTTTAGTAAACCACTTACTATTTCAGCTCACAAATCATGGGTGTTTTATCTAATTATTTTCTTTGAGATTTCTTACAAAGAAAATATAGGAGAGAAGGGACTGCTATCCCTCAACAAGTCTGAAATAATATTTTTTTAAATCATAATTTTTTAAAATAAAAATAATTTTAAAAAACCAATTTATAAGCGCAAACAAACCGCTTCATTCACAGTCAGAGCTACAGTGACTGGGGGGGGGGGGGGGGACCCTAAAAACTTGGAGGGTGGTAAAATATGTACACAAATAATAATTTAATAATAATTTTAAAAAAAGAACTTGGAGGGGTTAGTACAGGTAACAGGTAAAATCTCTTAGCCTCATCAGTCAGGAGCTTAGACATACCTGCTCCCATCTTCAGTTGGTGCAGGAAATCAGAGGAGACTTTCTAGATATTCTGAATACACTTAAATTCTCCCTATAAACTTACTGGAAATGTCTGAGTTACTGGCTCGGAATAAATCCCTCAAAGTTTGCCAGAAACCATGAACAAACAAATCCAAGTTTTGGGGGTCTACAGAGCCCTCTTAGGAACACAAAGATTTCTCTGGGAAAGCTGCCAGAATGCAGGAAAGGTGGTGTGGTGCCGTTCGCACAACTGCCAGGACACAAACACTATTAGCTGCCCAGGACCATGGTGAGGAGCTCCCAGGGAGGGTCAGCCCTGTCCCTTTAGAAATCAAGGCATTTCATCTTCCTCACACCCTGCAATCTCCCATCAAGACTACAAATATCAGCTTGCCTGCCTGCCACTGCTCAAAATAATAGAAAACCCCCATCTCCATGATCACCTAGAATCTTGACACCAGAGATCCATTCAGACAAGAGAATTCCAGGGCTAAGTCTCAATCCTCCACTACCCTCATACCTAGGAAGGCCACTACAATTTGGGTTCTTTGACCAAACATAAATCCTTTTTCCTTTGGGTAACCACCTGCTTTTATGGCTTTTAAGAGTGTTTCAACCCCATGTTTGTGGCTCACCTGAATGCTAGTGGCAGGGGTCTTTGAGGGAGAGCAGTGACTCTTGGCACCTCTGCCCTATTTGGACCTTCCTGCACCAATGAATCTGCAAAGGGTGAGATAAGGACCACTACACTCCTCTCCTTTTCCAATTTTAATGTCAAAGGATGATTGGAGGGTTACAACTGGTGAAACAATCTCTAGGTCTCTATAGAACTTACTACTGGTTCATCCTTGAGGGAGCATGACAAATTCAATTAATTTAGATTCTAAAAATTGGGTGGAAATAACATCACTCTCTCCCTATTCCAAATACACCTGATGAGCACTCAGGGATGGGTTATTATGAAGGAGCATTGTCCAAAAATGACTCTCGGTGTCCACCCCGGAATGCCTGAACAAGCCACCCCAGAGCCCTGACAAGTTGGATGGGAAGTGCTCATGTTCAGTTTCCCATGAGAATGATGGCTTCCTTCCCATTGCTGGAAAAATGACCCACGGTCCCCAGCCTTCTCCTCAAGTACAGGGCCTCTGGCTTTGCCAGACAACTGTTTCACTTCTTCTCCCATTCTCCTTTCCAAATGTCTCTTCCTTCTTAGCCCTTACATTCTACCCCTTCTTAAATGAACTTGATTTGATCCCTTATCTTCTTTTATTGCCTCAACAAAATACCATCTCTTCTTCATCTCCTCTAGTTCTCTCTTAGCACTTACCATTTTTACCTTATATAATGTGAACAGCTAGAATCACCTTTATTTAGCACTTAATTTTTGCCAGGCCCTTTAATAAACACTTCTATACAGTATCTCATTCAAACCTTATAACTAATCAATTAAGTTCATACTATCATTATCTCCTTCATGGAAGAAGCAAGTGAGGTGTAGAAAAATGTATATTAATTTTTTGTTCAAAATTTTCTAGAGTTATCTCTGTACTTGTCTCATCTTCCATATAAAAGTATTTTTAGCCCAGCTGGTGTGGCTCAATGGTTGAAAGTTGACCTATGAACCAGAAGGTCATAGTTTGATTTCTGGTCAGAGCACAAGTTCAGGTTATGGGCTTGATCCCTAGTGAGGGGCGTGCAAGAGGCAACCGATCTGTGATTCTCTCTCATCACTGATGTTTCTATCTCTGTCTCCCTTTCTTTTCCTCTGAAATCGCTTTTTCAAAGTATTTTTTAAAGTATTTTAAAGTAAATCTTGTTCATCATTGTATTTTTCTGAGGATTCTTCATACTTTATAGAGTGTGCACTCCAAAAAATTGTTGTGTGGAGAAAAGGAAACCTTAGTGCGCTGCTCATAGGAATGTAGACTGGTGCAGCCATGATAGAAAACCATGTGGAGTTTCCTCAAAAAATTACACATGGAACTACCATTTGATGCAGTGATCCCACTTCTAGGAATATATCCTAAGAAACCCAAAACACCAATCAAGAAGAATATATGCACCCCTATGTTCATAGCAGTGTTATTTTCAATAACTAATATCTAAAAACAGCCCAAGTTTCCATCAGTAGATGATTGTATATTAAAAAACAAAAAAACAAAAAGACAAAACAAAAAAAAAAACTCTTACTTTTTGAGACAGCAGGAAGGACCTGGAGATTATGTTAAGTGAAATAACAGTCAGAGAAAGACAAGAATCAGATTATCTCACTTATATGTATGGAATCTAAAGAACAAAATAAACGGATAAATAAAAAAGAACCAGAGGCAAGGAATCTCAGAGGAAAAGGAGGAGGAGGTGTGGGAAGAGATTAACCAAAGAATTTATATGCACTGCCTGTGGACACAGACAACAGGTCTGGAGGCCTGAGGCGGGGCAAGAACCTTGAGGAGGGGCGATGGGGGGGGGGGGAAGGGAAGATGTCTATAGTACTCTCAACAAGGAAGGAAGGGAGGAAGGGAGGAAGGGAGGAAGGAAAAAGAGGAAGGGAGAGGAGGGAGAGGGAGAGAGAGAGAAGGAAAGGAAGAAAACAATTTATCACACACTGCAGCCTCCTTGATCGGAATCGAACCTGGGACCCCTCAGTCCCCAGGCCAATACTCTACCCACTGAACCAAACCAATTTAGGAATCTTTCCTGATTTAAACTACTGTCTTTTCTCACCTCCCTTTCAATACCAAACATGTTGAAACATAAAAGACAGCAGTTTACATTCACAAACCCATTTCCTCATCTAAACACCCCGAGAGGCATCCCGTGCTCTCCTTACCTTCCTTAAGGAAGAGTCCAAGGATCCAGCTTGCCTTCTTCTCTCTCTACAGCTGTCACCCCCCAAACTAGACCTTTAAATTCTACAGGTGACAAGATTACCAGTGTCACTTGATAGTCTTTTATCTCATTCTGATTTTTTTTTAAATCTAAGATATTCGACAACCCCCTGGCAACATCAAGGAAACGTTGATTGGTGAGGTTGCTCTTAAGTCATCAGTCAGGGCAAAGCTGAAGTACAATCCTCAGTTCATCCTAGCTTGAAGCCTGTGATGGTGGCCCAAGCTGTTTCATGTCTGGGACATATAAAAAATTCTACAATGGCCGGTTTAGCTCAGTGGATAGAGCGTCAGCCTGCAGACTCAAAGGTCCCGGGTTCGATTCCAGTCAAGGGCATGTATTTTGGTTGTGGGCACATCCCCAGTAGGGGGTGTGCAAGAGGCAGCTGATCGATGATTCTCTCATCGATGTTTCTAACTCTCTGTCCCTCTCTC